ATATGTTGAAGCTTACCACCTTCTAACTAGTAATGGACTGGTCCCTCTTATATAAGTCAGCTCTGGAGAGAGAGTGAGGAGGCGTCAGAGAGAGAGAGAGTCAGCGTGAGCAGTCCAGATAAGCTTACCCGGTACATACCGTTGGACTATAGACTTTGGATATTGTTTCGTACTAACCAACCTTCGTTCTATTAATCACTCTATTGTTAATTGCTTTTATGAATATAACAGTATTTTCCTCTACAACTGTGTTTGTCTTGATTCATACACCCGACATGGTTGGAAACTCACAACATCTCAACAATATATATATATGTGTGTGTGTGTGTGTGTATATATATATATATATATATATATAGACACTAAAGTAACTATAACAGTTAAAACCTTTCCCCAATCTTTGAATATTGATATCAAATCTGAATAACTATATATATATATTTGGCTATATATATATATATATATATTTTTAGAATTCTTGCCAAAAAATAATGACCTGGCATTTTGCTTCCATTTTCCACTGCCATCTTTTTGTCTTTTCTATAAAAAGGTTTCACGGTAATTGTCCTGATTAACTTTCCTTTATGCTACCTAGACTTTATGAATTTAAGCACAGTACTAGATTAGTGGCAAGGTCCCATCATTTTACACTTTAAATGGTTAGACATATCTGTATGTTTTATGCTAGGATAGTCTTTTTTTGCCCATGGAACTCTTTTCTGGTTATTATTTTCTCCCAACTTTGATCTTCAAAGATGTAAATGCAATGTCAATCACTATCTACTGTCTTTCGGGTTACTTTTTTATTTTATTGTTCTCGCTCCTTAGTAATGTTTCTGTTTTCTAATTCTTCCACACTGATTAACTCCTTGTGTCTTAGTGGCTTTATTGCCTTGCTTGGGGTAAAATGATTAAAAGAAAATTGTAATTTTTTTATATTTTCAGCATATTGAAAACTTTACTGGAAGACCTAATTAGACGCTCAATTGAAGGAAATAACCATCCCAAACTGCTTTTACGGAGGTAAGTCTAGCATTTCACGCCACTTTGATTGAACGGTCTGTACTGGCTGGGAGAGTGTTTGTACGTCAATCTATCCATCATGAAAATTTTTGCAAGTTCAGTCTTCATTAACTCAAAAGTTCACAGATGGTCATATTTGGTCATTATTATTTTTTTTTTTTTTTTTTTTTTGCTCAGTGTGTGCACAACTTTCGGAAGTTGTGTGCAAATCCCTGTCCCCTGTGTGTGCAGTTTGTTGAGATATGAGACGGTACCCAAGATAATAATATCATTTTTCAGATCTTTTTTTTTTTTTAATCTATAATTTTTATCCCTTCCGCTAAGACATTTCACATAAATTATTTGCTTAAATTGGCATTTAACGATGGTAGTCAGTTGTAAAATAATATCTGAACAAAGCTGGAGACAATAAAACCAAGAGTGGGAGGGAAACTACTCAAGTATGTGTTTCACTCCTTATAATTAGCAACAAACTATATGTACACTACCCTATTTCTGTCAATGTTTATATTAATTCCTGACCACTGACAATCCCTTTCTTACTGATTTTCATTGCATTCCTATAATTTAATCATTAGCAATAGATTTACATTATACATAAAAACCCTATTCTATCAGTAATGCTTGCCTTCATTCCTGACCACTGACAATCCCTTTCTTCCTGATTTTCAATGAATTCCAATAGTAAAATCATTAGCAATGCATTTCCTTTATACATATAATAGCCCTATTCTATCAGTAATGGCTCCCTTCATACTTGACCACTGACAACCCCTTTCTCCCTGATTTTCAATGCATTCCTATAGTAAAGATTTAATGCTTGTCTGTCTCTGTCCATCACCAGACCACATTCAAATTTGAATCTGAAAGTATTAAAATTTAAGCAACCTTCCTTCTGCAATGAGAAGGAAATGTTGTTTGGGTTTAAACTTTTCTCTTTGTGACTCGTACTAATTTTCTGGTCATCAAAATTCAAATTAACATTTGAAAGTACTTGAGGCCGTATCTTAGCAACTTTTCCTCTGCAGCATAAGAGGTGGTTGCTTGGGCTTAATATCATCAGTTTGTGACTAGTCCTGATTCTCTGGTATTTTTTCCTTCGTATTCTTCTCCTTGTTTTAATTTTATTTCTATGCCTCATATACCAGTATATACTTTTTTAATGTATCCACTTTTAAAGCTATAATAAAACTTACCTGTTATTGAAACTACTACAGCACTCCCTCACTTTCTGTGTCTGTAACTTTCTGCTTGAAGGTTCTATTAAATAAAACAGTACATTATGCATTTTAAAATGTAGCAGGAGCATTTTTCGCCACATTTTCTGCAGGCTAAGTTTGAAAACTATACAGAAAAATATTTCTGTGTATATGTCAAGCTTCGTGTAACATCGGAGAAAAGCTATGATTCCAATCAATTAATTTTATTAATAAAGAAATGCAAATGAATTTTAGATGAAAAGACTATTTGTGTAAGA